AGCCATTAAATCTATTTCATATATAAAACTATTAAAATTCTGCTAAACATGCGGTATGAAAAGATAATTATTAAATTTAGAGATACAGAGAGATAAAGAACATATGTATGGTTGTGAGAATGTGTGTGTTATAATACAGTGTGTGCATAATATGCAACATAGTTATTAAAACAGACCTTTATACCATCAAATGCCCTTTTCAGGCATTGAGAGCCCCACATGTGCACATATTTTAATGACTAACTTGTATGAAGTGTTAGCAGGGTTATTTATATTGTTTTTCTTTCTCTGGATGTATTGCATATAAACTTTGTATCTGAAAGCAGGGAGTAGGTGTTATGTCTTCTATACAAAATATTAAGTCTCATGGTGGTAAGTTGTTAATTTTGTAAACTTTTTTGTAAACTTTGTAAACTTTTTTGTAAACCTTTTTTTACCAAACTCTGTAATATGCAACATTTCGATGGCTGTGTCGCTGTCTGGGCAGCAACGATCAAATGTTGTGATAAATGTACATAAGGTATAAATATATGTAAATGATGTGATATAGCTTACCCTATAACCTTAATACTCATCTTGAATTAATATAATTGTCTGTAATTTTTTATTAAAATGTAAACCAGTTCTAAACATCCTACTCTTAGAAAGGTCTTTCCCAACCTAAGCACCTCTCCTGTGGTCACACCGAGGTGATGCTGGCAGCGCCCTCACTGGGGCCTGGCAGTAACCGGGGCAGGTTTGGGGAGGACACTTGTCCCCCTCCCCAGTTGGTCAGTTCCCCCCTCCCCAGTGGGACTGGAGCCTCCAGGCACCCCCAGACTGCTGCTACTGTGGGAGTAGAAAATGAACCATATAAACCTCCCAGAAGCCCTGAGCTCAGTCCCTGATACACTGAAGCAAAGACACAGGTGAGAGAAGAAAAATTTAAAAGTTTATTAAACATTAAGAATAACAGACAAAAAAAAAAAAAAAAAAGAAAAAAAAAAGAAAAATAAAAATATTTGGGCTGAAGAGCAGACAGGATGCAATCCATTTCATGTCAAACAGTTAATTTGATCTTATTTGTTAAACTTGCATTTAAACAGATGCTGTCTCGTGGTGTTGCCAGGAATACAATGGTTGATCACTTGTTAAGTTTTAATACATTTTTTTTTCACATTAAAAAAAAAAAGTCAACAAAATAAATTGCACATCTCTATTGTAAATTACATGCAAAAATAGTTTTAAAGCAGCAATTGGGGTTATTACAAATCCACAGAGGCAAGATATTCAAATGCTAGGGGGTCCTCGGGCACAACTGACCTCATCTCACTTGCACTTGCAGGTTTGAGCTGCTCCCTGTGGGCACAGCGGAAACCAGGCACCTCCCTCCGGAGCCTCCCTTTGCCTTTGAATGTCTGGCTTTTGTGGATTCAAGTCAGAACTTTATTTCCATGGTGCTAAGCTTAGTGGCTTTAGCACCACTCAAAAAAATAAGAAGAAAAATAGTCATTCCCCGCCCCCCTTCCCTCCCCTGCTCTGGGCTTTCTCACGGAGAGCCCCAAGGTGCTTTTACTCACAAATACATCTCAAATTCCATGTTTTCAGAGGGCATTCTTTTTTAAAAAGAAAAAAAATCACTTCTAAGTTTCAGCAAAAACAAAAAACAAGCATTTAATCAATGCTTATGGTTTAATAAAGGTCAGTGGATTAGTTAGACACATTATTAATTATTCTGCAAATATATATATTTCTATTTTTATAAAATTACAATTTCATTTACCTACAAACTCTTTCATGAGCAACAAAGCCCCCAGAGGTGCAATGAACCCAGCTAAGCTGTCCTTGGTAACTTAAAATGAGATAAACTTTCATTTATTTCTTATTGTTATCTTGGGAGGACAACCCAGTTAGAGAACCTGGGTTTTATTTTGAGTTTCAGTCCACAGATTTTGCTTTTTTGCCTTTTTTTAAAAATTTTTTAAAATTATTTTAGGGGTGAGCTTTTCCCTGGGGCAGGGTACCTCCCTTGGTGAATGCTCAAGCCCCAGAGGCTCCTCTGAGAGCCCCCAACCTGAAGATGCTGGCTCTGCACTCACCCTCCTGCCCAGCAGGGTGGGGTGAGGAGGCATCTGAGCAGCTTTGGGGCTGCTGGTGGACAAGGTAGCTGCTGGGAACCTGTGCTCCTCTGTGGCCACGACTTAATAAATCTGTGCTATCCAGCCTACAAAAACTACCACCTCCCACTCCTTCCTTGTCCAAAAGAAAAAGAATTAGCTGTATTTATTTTTGTTTCCAAGCTGCCTTTTACATGTTAAAGAAAGTGCTGTGGTCACACTGAACCCACCAATGACCCTGGCTCCGTGTGCACCAGCTGCTCTCAGACACACCCTTCCTGCTGTTCAAGTGTCACCCCAAGAAGAATCCAGGTGAGGGCAATGACAAGTTGGTGCCAGTTGCCGTGTTGCTGCCTGGGCAGGAGGGGCTGATCCCAGCTGCTGCCTAAGGAAAAACATCACCTTGCTTCATCGTGGCTAAGGCAGCTCGGCCAACTTGTGCCAAGCCCTGCCAGTCTCATCTCTCCCCACGCATCCAGCAGCTTATACTGACCTTTAAAAAATAACTTACTATGCTTTAAACTTTGCTGCAGCACATGGAAATCCAACCTGCT